TCGTTTGCCGCATATAAAGTCTCAATACTCAGCATTTCTGAAAGAGTATCTTGAACTTGGTCACATGTCACGCGTTCCTCTAAATTCATTCCATCTATGCAGATATTTTCTTCCTCATCACTGCGTTCTGAAGGATGATAGCACAACTACCAAGCTTCGCGTCGTCTTTGATGGATCTGCATCTACAACAACTGGGCATTCGTTGAATGACATTCTAATGTCAGGTCCCGTCATTCAGCCAAAATTAGTCGACATATTATTGCGCTTCCGATCTTATCCAGTTGCACTCACCGGCGATATTTGCAAAATGTATCGTTGCGTGAAAGTACCTGAGCCGGACAGCTATCTACAATGCATTTTATGGAGGAATTCGCCAGATGATGAGTTGGAAGTTTTCAGGCTTGATACGGTAACATATGGAACAAAACCAGCGTCATTTTTGTCTGTGCGCGCCATGCATCAGCTTGCCGTAGATGAAAGGAACGCATTCCCAGTCGGGTCCGACGTACTGCTTCGCGATTTCTATGTTGATGATTTGATTAGTGGAGGAAATTCAGTCGAAGAAGCAAGACTTGTTATGCAAGAGACAGCTGGAATCTTGGCATGTGGGAAGTTTAAATTGAGGAAGTGGTGTTCAAGCCATCCCATGGTACTGGACGGCGTAACAGACTGCGACAAGGAATCGCTCATTAGGTTCAATGATGGCAGCGACATTACAAAGACACTTGGCCTTGCATGGGATCCGGCATCTGATCAACTTCTTTTCTCATATCTAGCTCTGAATTCAGCCTCTAAGCCCTCCAGGCGCTCTGTTCTCTCGTCGATTGCTAGGTTTTATGATCCCCCTCGGCCTGGTCGGCCCAGTAATAACGAAAGCTAAAATCTTCTTGCAACAACTCTGGAGGCATAAACTTGATTGGGATGAGAGTCTCCCGTCTGCATGTCACACTGCATGGCTAGACATTTGCAGCAACTTTGGCAATGGTCTTAGTAGTGCATTTCCCAGGCTATCATTAATACCAGGATCGAAGGTTGAGGTCCATGGATTCTGCGATGCCAGCATCGAGGCATACGGAGCTTGCATTTATATTGTATCCAGAGGTCAGCATACCATCAGCAGGTTGCTTTGCTCTAAGTCTCGAGTTGCGCCTCTAAAAACGCTCACGGTTCCCAAGCTGGAACTATGCGGGGCAGAGTTGCTTGCGCGTCTAATGAATGAAGTGGCTCGCTTAGGCATTTTCGCAGGCGAGTTTCATTGTTGGTCTGACTCTACTGTTGCGCTTTCTTGGATCAATGACGAGCCCGGACGATTTAACGTTTTTGTTTCAAATCGCATCGCCACGATACAAGATCTCACATCAGCAATGGAATGGCACTATATACCTACAACACTGAATCCCGCGGATATATTATCTCGGGGTGCATTGCCCTCGGATTTAAATGCCTCATTACATTGGTTCAACGGTCCAGGTTTCCTCTGTAAGCCCAGATCTCAGTGGCCAGTCTCAGCACTTCCAGAAAGAACTTCAATTGAGCGTCGAAGAACTGTGCTTCTTGTAAAGGACGCAGTCCATGATGTCTCTATGGACTGCAAGTTTGTGAATTCTTTCGGCCGCTTGCAGCGTACGTTTGCATACGTATCAAAGTTTATTAAAAAAAGTCATGGTCCAGGAATAACCCTAGCAGACATCCGGAACGGCACTCATATACTGTTAAGAATGATTCAACGAACACATCTCTCAGACGACATAAATGCTCTTCGAAATAAAGGAAGGGTTCCGTCATCCAGCAGTCTAGCCTCGCTGTCACCGTTCCTTGATGAGATTGGGCTGCTACGTGTCGATGGTCGTCTCAAAAACTCAACTTTAAATTTCGATAGTCGCCATCCAATTATTTTGCCCAAAGTTCATCCAGTAACTAGAGCCATCATAATGCATTTCCATCAGCGAAACTTGCACGCTGGTCCCCGAGCAGTGCTAGCGTTGGTTCGTTCCCAATATTGGCCAATTGGAGGTAGAAAAACTGTAGCCAGTGTAATTCAGAGATGCGTAATTTGCTTTCGTGCAAGGCCCCGACTCGTTGAACACATAATGGCAGATCTACCCAAGGATCGAGTCGACGGCTATCGGGTCTTTGGAGTGACTGGAGTCGACTTTTGCGGACCCTTCTTTTACAAGCCTGAGTCACGAAACAAGGCGCCTGTGAAATGCTACGTTTGTGTGTTTATTTGTTTTGCTACGAAGGCTATTTGGTTGGAGTTAGTCAAGGATTTAACTACCGCGGCATTTTTGCATGCACTTCAACGTTTCATATGCACCAGAGGAAAGCCAAGTCAAATCTGGTCGGATAACGCCACAAACTTTCTTGGTGCCCGCAATCAGCTTCAGGAGTTGAAGCGTCTATTTCTGTCAGACACCCACCAGAAGGCTGTGAAGGATTTCTGTTTGGCAGACTCAATCGAATGGCATTTCATCCCTCCACGATCACCTCACTTTGGTGGCTTGTGGGAGGCTGCAGTGAAGACAGCGAAGCATCATTTTTACCGATGTGTTGGGTCCTCCGTCCTAACTTACGATGAGCTTCGCACACTGGTTTGCAACATCGCTGCTGTCGTTAATTCACGCCCTTTAGTTTCGATTTCAGAGCACCCATCAGACATAGACGTGTTGACTCCTGCGCATTTCATCAACGGTGGCCCTCCTTCGTCCTTCAGTGAGCCAAACCTGACAGGGCTCAATTTTAATCGTTTGGATGCTTGGCAGCGCGTAAGCTATCTCCAGCAGGTGTTCTGGACTCGTTGGCGGGACGAATATCTCAACTTGTTACAACAGCGAGCGAAATGGAGAACTTCCAAACCTGGCTTGGCTGTTGGCAACATAGTTCTTGTGAAGGATGAGAATCTACCTTCACTTAAGTGGCCACTAGCCAGAATAATCGAACTTATCCCTGGAAGTGATGGCGTTGCACGGGTAGCCCTACTAAAAACTGAAGCTGGCGAGATAAGAAGAGCTACAAATAAGCTGTGCTTGCTGCCCCTTAAGGATTCTGTTGAAGACTAAGTCTTCAACGGGGGGAGGATGTTGGGCTCAGCAATCATCGCTTCATTGTAATTAAGAGCGGCAGTTCATAGAGTATGTTATCATGTAAGAGAATTTGTAACGGAGATCACGCTCTCCCTTTTGCGTTGTCTCTTTCACCCACGCACCGGCTCAGCTTAATCCGCCGGCTCGCGTACATTGTAGTTAGTATGCAATTAACTCTTGTTTAGAGCAGATGCTGTGTTAGATTGACTATTACAAACATAGTAGCGGACAGCACGACAGCCTAGTCGCTTGCTCGCGTCTATCACATAAACTCTGTAAACTCAAATAATCGCTAATAAACTAATCACTAAGTAAATTCAATCGTTTAATAATTTAAAGCTATTCGAAAAATCTCGATAGCTCAACAGTTAGTTTATAGTTATTTTCTTTTTAGTCGGCACCCTGTACTCGAGCACCCTGTGCCCACCCTATAGCTTCAAGGCCTTAAATGTTGCAGGTCAGGCAGAGCGCAGTTCACTTGCACCCGTGCCACCTGGCTTATGCTCTTCCGGGAGCGGTCTCGTGCACTTTGGATATAAATTATTGCTTATTAACGTTAAGTTTTCAGCAAAATTAGTTTTTCACAGGCACACACACACACACATACGCCCACACACACATATACACAGTCGCACGCGCCGCATTTTGAAATGCGGCAAATTATTTATAAAATGTTTTTGCCTTTGCGCGTTGCCAATGCAATTAGCTGGCAAGGAAATGGCGCAATAGCTAATCATGGTTTCCACTTAGGGATAAATTAACCCACTAGCGTTTCCAAGTATTAACAGATACATGCGCATACATAATCGCAGAGCACACACAATTGGGAAATGGCGAATTCGTAGGTGAAGGCAACATTGGCTGGCAATTGGGCTAAAAGCTTTTCAGGGCTGGCTAGAAGCTACTCGGAAACAACCTGTGAGTTAAATATGTTACAATTTGGGTTTCCAGGTAGCCTAATTAAAACCAACTGCAAAACGCCAGACAGTCTGCCTGAAGTATGTAACTGCGCCAGCTAAGATGACAGTACAATCCCAAAACATGCCGCATTTGCGTTATTGTCTTACGCCTGTCTTGGCCTGGCTTACGGCTTTGCCATTGCACTTTATGTCAGGGCCACTTTGCTGGCGACCCATGTAAATGCCTGCCACGTGGCTTATGTGTAGTAAATGTGTGTGTGTGTGAGTGCGACGCACGACCTCACAACTTCAAAGAACGGCAGCAGCAGGTAGGAATTGTGGCGCTGCCTGTCATTAAACTAGCACCACGCACACACACCCACACACACACACACACACGCATGCCCCTGGCTTTGAAAGTTGAGCTAAAAAAGTTGGTATATTGGAAAACTTTTCCTTCTTGATTTTTAATATCACAGGTGAGCGTAAATAATTTATTGCATTCATTTACGTTTCACTTCCAATCGCATCACATAAACATTTCCAGCAGGCAGCAGGGGGCGCAGGGGGCGGTATTTTTGGTATACGCACAACAATAAAAGGCTAAAGGAGCTGAGGATAAGAACAGGCTGTCCGTCTGGCTGGCTGGTTGCCTGGCTGGCGGCTTTAACAATGTGCCAACATCGCGGCACATGCATAAGCCAAATCCTTTTAGACCATAGATAAGAAAACTTTAATAAACACGCCACACACGCAACCTGGGAAATTGATAAGAATATGAAAACTTTGTGCTGGGCACTGGCACTGAACAGCTGTCACGATGGGCTGAGGCGGTTGTGGTGGAGCATGGGTGAACAACTTTGCACATTGCATACTTTTAGCAACAGCTCGACGTCTGCTCCGCTGACGGCTAAAGTTGCTGCGTTTTAATTTGCCAGGCTCATAAATAAAATTCAGCTTATGCCAAGCATCCTCGGGGGAAGGATCGGGTTGATTAATGGGCCCGGTGTAGACTAACCTGTGCTTCTTCAACTCCATCTGCTGCTTCTTGAGCTCCATCTGCTTCTTGCTGATATCGTAGTTGCGCTGATGTATCTCGTGTATCTCACCGATGTCATGATAATTGGCCAGCATGCCGAACGGATTGTTGTGTATGTTGCCAAGGCTGCCATGATGTCCGTGTCCGTCGTGGCCGTGATGTGGCGCATACTGCGAGAACTCATCTGCAATGGCAACAGCAAAGCGAGATTCAAAATTGTCCTAATTAAAGTAAACGTTGCAGCAGCTGGCGCCGCACTCAATGACAAACTGAAAATAATTGCTTAATTGCACTTTCTGTGTGCCGTTAACTAAATGAGGACTCACTCAAGAATACCCTGTATAATTATGCGATATTTTACATTTTTGTGAACTTGTAAAGCTGATGCTAGTATTTCTAGAAATCATTTCATTCCCCATTTAGTCTACGGAGTAAAATCGTGTGAGGTTTACGTAAATTAAAGATTATAATATAACTAACTGATCTTCTAGATAAAAGATATTCATTCCTACTGAGATATACTGAGAGATCACATTAGGAGCTCGTCTTTCTACTTCAGAGTCTTATAGATTCTTTGAGATCGTAACATTCCTAGCTCCTATATTAATCCAATGCTTTATAAATCTCAACTTGGCATCCATGATCTACTTACCAATCGGACGGGAGCCGCCCCAGCGTAGGCTCTTGTCGTAGCGATCTATGTAGTGGGGCACGTGGTACTGAGGCTGATATTGGTTGTAGTACTGCTGCTGGTAGTAGTGCTGCAGCTGTTGCTGAGTCAGAGACGTCGGCTGCTGCTGTGTGCGACGCTGATGCTTGCCGTTGAACGAGTGAACGTGATGTGTGCGGATGTATTTCTCCTCGACCTGTCCGAATAGAGTTAGAGATGCCATGAAATTTTTGGGTCGCAGTATGTAATCGAGTGCGAATGAAAGTCATTTCAATGTCAAACTTTTGGATACAACTGTAAATTAAAAATGAATCATACGGGCAAAGCCTCATACCCTCATCACGACATCTGGACGCCCCTGGGCCCACGACGCCTGGTCAGATGGTGGCCGGGCCGAGCGTTTATGAATAAATTTCATTTTAGAGTTTACCATATTCTGTGCGCCAACGGCAGATATAATAAATTTATTTATATTTCATTTCCTTTTCCCTTAACTACAGTTGTTGTTGTTGTTGTTGTTGGCGAGTAGCAGCAGCTGCTGATGCTGGTGGTGCTGCTGCGCATGCTGCGGCTGACCCACACAGGAGCTGGGTTTCGGGGCCTTGGTCTGGGTAATTAAAATGAAAGCTCCATGAGCCGCGCGCATGTAGGCCATAATTATAAAATGGCTTAAACTGATGTTAATCTTAATGCAGCCCCACTGACATTCCGGCGTCCCCTGACAGCCATTCCACATCTACATTCAGGCGCATGCTGCAGCTCTGGCCCCACCCCCACCCGCAATTGTAGCGATTCCTCCTATCGCCAGAGCAATTTAACTGTGAACGATTAGCCGACTATTGTGCAGTTGGCTGAATAAATAGTTGAAATTACGCATACGCACCTTTTTGCCATTGATTAGCCACGTCACATGCGGGGCGGGCCGCCCTCGAGTGGTGTTGCACAGTGCGAACAGCTTCTCGCCTATGGCGAAGGGAGTGCGCTTTCGAAACTTGATGGTGGGCGGTCCTGTCTGAGGCACTGTAAGGGCATTACGAGATAGGGGTAGCAATTAGTGTCAGTTAACTCGAATTAGTTTGGCATTTGCTACGCACAGAAAACGCTCATTAGCTCGTCGGCGCTGGCCTTGGTAAAGATGGGCGTGTCCGTTGATACCTCACAGTAGAATTGGCCCGACAAATCGAACTGCACATCCTTCAATGTCACTTGCGTTTCGTTCGAGTTCTCCCACTGTTCAATAAGGGATGCAAAATGCATTTATTATAATTAAGAAACATGTTAAAACGGGTATGTACGACTGCCAGAAACTCTGTTCGCCGATGTTAATTAACAGCATATATATATATATATATATACATTATTTATACATATTAATATTGAATTTTCCAATTTTATTCTATCGGTTTTGAAAAACCATATCAACTCATCTATAACATCTAAATTGATTGGGCATTATATTGTACATATTGTATATATTGTAGTAATAATGTCGAAAAATCTGTTGGTTTTCAGTCTGTTAAATCAACAAAACATCAAATTTAATTTGTGACTGCGCTCAAACAATAATTAATTCCATAACCTATATACTCTTATAAATTTATTAAATGATTCATTAGTCAATCACTCTTAATGCTCGATGCAATGTGCATAAGTGCATGATAATTAATTTAATTTCACCAACTGCCGTTACGTTCAGCTAATAATTTTATAACGTATTTGGTATGAGCATCGAATTATATTATGACCTGTAATGGGCCTGAGTCGAACTTTATTTACTGCGTTATTGATTCCATTATTAATAGCTATGGACAGATTGGCTTTGATGGTTGAATAAAAATTAATTAAAATTAATGAGACATAAATAGTCTAATGAAATGAAAACATTTTTATTTGTTTTACATATGAATATAAAAATATATCTCGTTCTTATACCCTGAACCTATTGAAAATGGGAAATCAGGGTATAATGGTTTTGCATGCCTAAATTTTATTATTATTTTAAATTGGTATGCTTTTAATAATAACTTTTTAATCCAATATATTATATAACTAACATGTTTTTGTTTTACGCTTCACCACTGAATTAAAATTTATAATAACTAAGTGGAACTGAAAAATGATTTAATTAAGCAGAAAGACATGTTTGATTTTCCTCAAAGTCATAGTTGATACTACAGCTTATATAAAGCTAATAATTATGTTGAAAAAACATTGACAGTGATAATATTATATAATATGATTATTACTGACATTTTAGCCTTCAACCAATCAATAATTCGTATAATATAAATGGGGAGTGTAAATAGAGTCAATTTATACTTATTTATTCAAGTCGATATTAACCACATGTCCTCTCGCCATCTCACGTCAATTTCTGATTACTTACATCAATTTCGGCTCCTTCGATGGTTGAGTTACGAAACGGCGGATTGCGTCCGTTTATGAACTCGAAGAACTTGCCCTTCTCAACCTTGAGCCATGTCACCTGCAATCAAACAGAAATATATATATATATATATACGGCGTATTATTAAAACAGTGTTTCGTAACACTTGTGTTGTTGCTAGGCTGTCTGTGGCATTGATTGAGCAACTGCCTCAATTCGAATGCGAGACACTGTGTCAGTTCGTGGCTCTCGTTCAGTTCATTGTGTTTGGAGTATTTCATTAAATGGCATGCGGCGTACATATATGCCGCAGGTGCGGACAAATGATGAATAAAAAATTAAATGGAAATGAAAATGAAAATGAAAATATAAAAACACAAATGGAATGCAATTTAACTTTGCAACAAGTTGCACGAACTTTTTGCAGCGACAATTAAAACGCGCGTTAAGCTGTAAAACTGCAAATAATAGAATGGTTTATTGAAATGCCACAAGCGAATGTCACGAGCAGCCAGCTCGAAGGGGACGAGCTGCCATGTGCATGCTGCGTAGTGATGCTCGTGTTTACGCTGGTCCTTGTGGGACGTGGCGGAAGCGTAATTAAAAACGAGATCTGCGAAAGCAACATAAATGCTCGAATATAACTGCACAAAGTTGTGCCAATGCACGAGGGACTACCGGCACTACGGGCTTAAAGCAGCACTGGCAAATAAAGGAGCTTAATGTAAATGAAAATAAATTTCCATTCATAACTTACGGCTGAGCCAAAGTTTTCAGTGTGGGGTAAGCGACAGAGCGCGAGACAGCCCTTGAGCGTACGAAATTGAAGGAAAAGAGTTTTTTAGCTACGAGCCGTATTTATTTATCGTACTTTGTGATTTCATGTAATAACGGACAACTTGATGAAAATATACTCGTAACTTATTCAACAGTTACGCTTATATCAAATGCAGCGCCCGAGGCTCTGATGCGGAGTGGGACAGATTGCTTGACTGGCTGGCTGCCCAACTAATTGCATTGATTGCACTCAACTTGACCTGCGGCTAATGTGTCGTATGCATAATTTGGACAGCAAATGTCCTCATTACTCACGCATATGTCCTTTGTCATGGCAATCGATACAGCGCGCACACACACACACTCGGACACTCGCACACATACGTGACATTGTCGAAACAAAGCAAACATTATCATGCGGCCACTGAACCACGCTCGGCGACCACGTCCCAGCGACCTCTCCAAATGCCCATCAAATTTTATCAGCCACTTGTGGAAATTTTTGCAAAAAAATTCTCTTGATATGACATGAACTTTTCGGAGCTACGGCGACAGCCATAATAATAATAATAACCATAGTGCGTATCGCAAAGTAATCAAAGCTGCGCTCCTGAATGCCACAGTGTCAGTCAATGGCTCATGCTTCTGATGGGTCCTTAGCCAACTCCGCTGGGACAACGTGCCTGGTATTGTTGGAATTGCTGTCGCTGTGGCTGTTGCTGTTGCTGTTGTTGATTAGCCAGGCATGAGTTTGGCATGTGTCGGCTTTTGGCGTGTCCGCCGTGCTCTGGTCTGACTTTGTACATATTTTGTTTGTGTTCATTAGCCCGCTTATTTTTGTACTCAGTCGGCAAATCAAAAGCTCATTTATGTGGTCTGGTCTGAGCTGGCTCCCTTGGCCCATACTGATGGCCTGCCCGTCAGCCAGTCCGTCAGGCAGCCCGTCAGCCAGCCTGCCATTCACAACGTAATTAGTTTATTTAATTTATATTTTTTCGCGCTGCTTTTGTGTGCCCGAAAGTATGCTCCAGCATGTGTAAGCCGTGCCACTGCGCCAACTTCAATTCCATGGGTAACCGTGTTCGCATTTGCGTTTTAATTGCCTTTTTAGTGCCACTTCCACACAATTTGCCACGCTTCGTGCAACAATTCGAATCAAAACCAGTTGGCGGCATGGAGCCCTGTAGCCGGCGCACTCGCTTATATAGTCAATTATACTAATTAGCCATCGCCGAGCAGTAGTATTCACAAAGCGGCCAACTGACCAAATAAAATGATGTCTACATGTGAACACGGCAACTTCTCCTAATTGTACATGTGTTCCATCCCATTTGTATCGAGGAACAGGATGTCAATTGTCCCGCTGATGTTTGTATCCCGCTGGGATAGTATATTTAATAACATTTTCATATAATAATAATAATAATAATAATAATAATAATAATAATAAAGCATGGAAATTAATTGAGAGAACTCAGACTATTTCAACTTTAATCAAATTTATATTGGAAAACTACTCGATCATTTCTTTATAATTATTTGCAAAGGCTTTTCTTTGGTTTAACTTCATTTATCAATTTATTTATTTATTTATTTATTTATTTTTTATTTATTTAAATTAATTTATGGCAAATGTTGATTAATAATTTAACTTTGTTATAAAAACAAAAAAACAAAAAAATAACGAAACCACTTAATTGGTAATAGATTGGTAATTAGATATACATTTGTTCAAAACTAGAGTAGTTAGAGATTACATTGGAAAGGGAGATTACTATTTAACTGAACGATTGGCTTAATTATTAGCTACTTGATATTTATTGGTCTAGTTTAACAAATTGCTTGATAAATATTTAGTTAAATAGGCAACAGCTCATCTATGATCATTAACGATGTGCTGATCTCCATATCTAACTTCCTCAATAAAAATAGAGTAAAATAAATACAAGATCTTGCGTTCACTGTGCTATCGCATAAAATTCTCTCTTTTATTAAAAAAAAAAAAAAAAATGAAAGCAACTTTGAATTAATAGCTGAAAACTACTCACAGCAACTGCGAGCGAGCAGCTCTGCCGAAAAAAAAGGAAAGTGAAGGAAAAGCAAAGGAGAGAAAATCAATATGTTGTGTGCTTCTAAAGCACTCAACTTCGTGGCATTTTTGCGCCATAAAATTTGTACGCTTTTATGGTACTTAGAATGAACAAAACGACAAACTCAAGCACAACCTCCAGCTCCACCTTAACGTCCTGAGCAGAGTCTCTGCCGCGGGCGCTGCCAGAGCTGGTGCTTGAGCATGGCCTTGAATTTGTATTCCACGACTTGCAGAACTAGTGGCTGAAAGTTCGGAACAAGAAAACTAAACAACTCATTTGCCATAAATTCAAAGGCGTTGCCCTCGGGGACGTATGGAGTATAACTGTGCGTGTCCCCTGATGTTTCGTGACAGTAATAGGAGAGTTGAAGTGAAATTAATTGTCGCAACTGTAACTGAAACTAAGTCGGAAGTGAGAACGACGCGACGCTGGCAGCCGGGCAGGACCTGATGAGCCGCTCTTTGACTGTTAGTTTTTCCAACTGCTGGCGCTGCTGGCTGACATTTGTGTCTGTGGCAGCACTAGCAACATGCACCTTGTGCATCACCTCTCACTGATAGGGTGAGCTTTACTCAGACCCATAAACTTTTTACGAAAAGTAGCACAAGGCAAACGCAATTGCGCTTTGTCGCGGTTTCCATTCCGATTTCACTTTAAAGTTTTCCATTTGCGAGTCACATGCATCAGGGAAATGCTGATTCAATAAAATGGTATATACTACATATATAGGCACAGAGCTTACCTTGAATAATATTTCCGGTATTACGTTGTGCTTGCATTTGAATGTGACGCTCGAGCCTCGCTCCACATACCTCGGCACCACTAATTGCACATCCACGTCCGATTGTCCATCTGGGGAAAGCAAGAGGGGAAATTCCGAATTAAAATAGATGCAAATGAACTGCCTGAGCATTGCCGCACCAAAGGATCTGACCACATCGAGTAACGCTCGATTGCGGCTTAATTGAAAAGCCATTAAAAAGCACAAGCGCAAGGAAGAAAACATTTTCCAAAATATGCAGCGCATTTCAAGTGTGGCCAGAGAGAGAGGGAGAGAGACAGAGAGACAGACAGAGAGAGGGTGTCAAACAACAGCGGGAAGCCAACACCTTAATTGTCAGTTAATGGTATGTGGGCCCGCACACGACCTCCGACCGGCTCAATAAATCTCAATTGGTTTGCCAAAGAGCACATGAGATGCTTTCCACGTGCATATCAAAAATGCTTCAGTTACGGGGGTCCTTCAAGCACCACCACCTCCTGTCCCCTCACAATGACACGTGAAATCCGTGGCGGCATTTTATCGACATTTTTTGCTGGAGCTCAGCTGCGCTGCAAAGGTTGAAGCACCCTTGTGAGGAGAGCAAACACTTTTAAGATAAATACTTCATTCTTTTTCATTCATAATTGCACAACTACAGATGCACTTTAACGTGTCAGATAATTACATTTCAGTTTTTCTTATAATACACTGAACAAAATTGATTGGTAAATGGTGACAACTATAGAAATAGAATAGCTATCGATGGACTGATAATTGTGCGTATACTTAATGCAAATTTATACACAATATATTATATATATTAATATTCTTTAATTAACTTTATTAAATAGATATTGTGTTTACGCCACAACAAAAACTGCGAAAAGTATTTATAAATATTTGGATATGATAATGGAAAATGTGACAATCGCAATAAGCAAATAAATGGGCGTGTGCAGTTCGGTTCGGTAAATTAGCCACGATATTTGTGATAGCTGTGCGCTGGGGCATGTGGCAGCGGACAGTGGCAACAATTTGGAAATTGGCTGATGGAAATCGATAAATTACTTGCCAATGTTGCAGCAAATAGCGAACAGCGAACAGCGAACTCAATTCCAATCATAATTAAGACACAAAATAGTAAAAGGCAAACACATTGCCTCATTTGCAAGGGGCGGCCTACAAAGTGGCGCCAATTTCATTTTCATTTATTCACACCACGCGGCTGTCGTCAGTCACGCAAAATGTCAACGACTGAGTAAGTAAAAAACGTGTCAGGCCGTGCGAAAAATATGGCATAGCGGAAAACAAGAAAACCAAATGAAATGAAGCACGTCAAGTGCATGTGGCGAGGCGAGGCGAGGCGAGGCGACAGACGTGGCAGGCAGGACGTCGAGTGTGGCAGCGCTGTTGCCTTTCTGGTTGGCAACTTGTTGCAATACGCAGTAAACATGCCACGTTTTCATTGGTTTTGTGGCATTGCCATCAGCGGGACATCTGTGCGTGTGTGTGGGTGGTTGTATATGTACGTATGTGTACGTGTTCGTGCCACATGCTAACGAGCCGTAATTCACGAAAATTTAATCATACGCAGCTGGCCAAGACTCGACAGCCAAGCAGCAGCAGCCTCTTGCCAATCGGTCCACCATGCTCACACCCGTCCATTCAGGGCTCTGGGCCAAAGAGCACACAGTCCTGACACGAACTCAAATCCGAATTGACTGACTTTTCGCTAACGTCTGCCTTTATAATCATGTCGAATACTTGGGCATTGATGTCGCCGCACTCAACATCCATTTTTTATGGCCCTTAGCTCCTGGCAGCTGTCCAACGTTCTTGTTCTTATGAAATTTATAATAAAAATACTGAAAAGCACAGAATGGAAACGGAAACTTTGCAACACGTCCGCTGCCAAGATGTTGACCGACCGCAATAATTGTTTTGCAGCCTGCCAGCAGCAGAAAATATTCATTACACCGAAACGCTTGCCCTGCTTCGACAGGCTGTCCGCTTGTTGCTGACTGGGTGGCAAAAAAAAAAGAAGAAGAGGGAATAAAAAACAACAACAAAAAACGAAAACGAAGACGAAAAAAAATGAGCTCACTTTGACAACGACAGCGCCAACATTTTGTTGTACGTGGTGTACGTGTTCTACAAGCGGAAATTGATGATTTTCCAGGAGTCGAGCGACAATAAAGCGTGCAGCATGTCAGCAAAACGCAAATAATCAATCAATCAGCATTAATCAAGGCGGGAGTGGGCGTGCTGTGCCTACAACAACAACAACAACAAGCTGCTGCTGCTGCTGCTGTTGCTTCTGCGGCTGCAACTGTTGCCCCCAAGGGAGCTCGGCCACGCTTCGACATGAACAGCTACATTACCATGTTTGATATGCCGTGGAAATTGAAATCCTCAAACGGAAAATTAATTTAAAGCGCAACATAATATGCTCATGATAGAGAGCCTCCGAAACATATTTAATAGCCCGAATGAAGACTTGAATATTGCAGCCAACGAAATCTCATATTAGGAGCTCTTGCATTGTTGAGTTGAGTTAAGATGGGCTTAAATTGTTTAAAGTTGAGGCGCCCTGGAGAGAGTCATAAGGGTTCTGCTTTCACAGCCACCAGCTAATGTAGCCTTGCAGCTACAAGAACGGGAGATCCGTGATTCCGAACATAAGAACTTAAGCCCATCATTCATATGCGGATTGCTAGATAAATGTTGGCGCGGCTTTAGTACTTTAATTCGGTTGAGCTTGGGGATTCATTTAACGGTGATTTAAGACTGCTGAGTTCTAATGAGCTCAGCAGTGCAGCCTAATAGTATTGTGTCGTCACTCACCTGTTTACCTGTTGGCGGGCTAAGCACTAATTCCTATAACATAAATAAATTAGTGCCAAAACAAATAAATAAATAACCAGCAAAACAATAGTGCAATGTGGGCGGAGAGTGTGAACGGCCGGCCGAAAAAACATTTGGTCTTCGATTGTTCGATATCGAGCATGTCTTCAATTGATTACTAAATCAATATTCGAACTGTGGCAGCTGTGGTCACAGCTCGCACGACTCCTGCCCAAAAGCCGCAGCGATGCCATGACTACGCCCATTTGGCAGGGAGCCCGCCCGAATTGTGGTCGATCGGTTCGCCTGTTGTCTTGGGTGGCTCTGTCGTGGTGGTGGTGGGGCCCTGTCATGCCTGTTGCAGCGACAACTCAGAACGCAATTATTGCCCTCGGCTCTGAGTGGTGAGCAGTAAGCTGTGCTGTCTGTTGGCCTGTCCAGCTGCCAGTTAGTTGGCCATATCTGACCAGGCCACACGGACTGTTGCTTATCAATATAATGTTCAATCATTACGCTTGATGGGCAGACGACACAACCACAATTCTTACCGGCAATATGCGCACACTCTACAGAAGTTCATTAGACACCCGAGCGATTGACTGATTGACTGACTGACCGTATGGAAGCTAATGCCACTGTAAACTTCTTTAACCACAGCATTTCATGTTGATTATTGCCATCTGATTGACGCAGTGGCTTTTTAATTCCATTGTGGCTGGCAGCACAGCTTAGTGCCTCACCGATGCCAATCAAATGAAAACATGCATAATTGCTAATTGAGTTATGAACTAAGCCACTCGTGAATTTTCCTCATGCCTGATTGCGGCATTTGAGAATTTTGATGAAAACTACACGATGTGGTTACTGCGGGCCACAAAAGGAAAACACGGCAGCAGCAAAGCAAATGTTTTCAATATAACTCAAATATAGCCCCACACACACACACACACACACACACACACACACACAAACACACATACACACAGATGAGACACAAAGAGAACATGGAAAAAATAAACGTTATGCAGCTTTGCTTGAGCAAGGAAAGGGATGAAGGCATAAGTCGTCAGGCTGCCAAAGTGTTCGTTTAGCAAACTTAGGCTCCCTTTGCTTTTTTCGTATTTCTCCGTGGAGCTGAAATGGGACTGGAGCACGGCAGTGGGCAGGAGCTGCGTACGGCCTTCACAAAGCAGGGACTGCTGGCAACGCCTCGGTGGCATAAAGTAATTTTATAGAACAAATCACAGGCATTAGTGGGTATAAATCCCGTTTATCCTTGCCTGTGTATGCGCGCGTGAAATTTAAATATGTAGCGGACACAGTGGGTAGGCAGATGTGCTGGGGGGTGGGCGCAAGGACTGCAACAATAAAGGACACAAGAAAAATGGTCGTCTTTGGCAACGAAGTGGCCCGCACGGTCCTTGAATAAAACTGTCGGGTGCGAAATTCTTAGGAAAAAACAGAATAAATATATATATGTATATGTATATATATATAAGATGTATATAAGTATTTAAGCTATTGTTTTTATGCGAGCCAAATCGCGGCGGATATACTAGTATGTAAGTTATTCAGCTAGCCTGAATAATCTTAAGCTGCTGCTCCAAGGTTGCCGTTGCAAAGATAAGTGGCCTTTAGTTTGGCCATATATCTGAGAAAATTATCCATTGTTATTTTAAATAAGAGCTTATTGGATTGTTCCCAACATTGTGTGTTATGAAAGAAATGGCCTGTAAAGAGTTATCTTAAGAGTAAGGCGATGGCGAGAAGCCAAATTTACTTCAAGGACTTCATAATTATTTTAGTCTGTGTGTATTTGTATCTTCTTAATCTTGTCACTTTCAAGCGGGGTTCGGATAAATTGTAGCTATATATATTTTCTGTACATGCTTTCGTAAATTTTCAATTTAATATTTTTATCACATTTGTGAAATTAAATCAGATTTTATAAATAAAAATATCAAAGCAAATGGCCAGTGTGCATGTCTGTCACGCACACACAACGAACAGCGAACAGCGAGCAGCGAACAAGTAACAGCCAAGAGCCAGAGCTATGTACATGGTCGACAAAAGTAGCCAATGTAATGGTCAAAACAAGCAAGTGCCTCGGCGCTGCGGGAAGCGAGCTTCCCGTTTTGAAAATTTTATCTGGGCATCCGGCAGGCCTGGCCGGGACCACAGCAGACCCGGCAGCAACAGCAGCAGCAAGCAGTGGAAAAGAGAGTATGAAAGAGAAGGAAGAAAAAGATCCGTTTATAAGTAAGTACATAAGAAAATGGCTTCAAGGGCACGCTTTGGCGGCTGCACACAGGCATCAGCTACAACTACAAATACAACTACAACTACAACTACACTGGCACGCCCATCAAAGCGCCCAGCACGTAGGGCACATACAGCACGCCCAGTGCCCATTTACAAGGCCGTGGAGCAAACACATGTAGGCCATGAATCTCATAACGAGTGTTAGTCATGCGCCACGAGGGCCCCGCACTTGCAATCTATGTATGTGTGTTGGTATGAGTGGGTGTGTAAATGTATGTGTGTGTGTGTGTGTGAGTGTGTTTGTGAGCCAGTTGCCGGACCAGTGAGCGCGACCCGGACCTGTACCATAGCCCGTACCTGGCCCTCGTAAAGATGCAGACCATTATAGAAATGAAAAACAAACGCTAAAGCAGCCAACGCCAGCGACGACGACGTTGGCAAACACATAAAAGTGCTTAAATTACTTTTAAGCGTAATTATGTTTTATTAATGCGTTGCCCGGCACCAGTAGTAACAACTGCAACAACAACACCATCAACACAGCAGCTATAACATCCACACCAAAATGACAGGCTGGACAACACTACAAATTGGTAACGCGAATTGTTTTTCATTTTTTTCTTTTTTCTTTTTTCATTTGTTGCTTTTCCGTTTTTAGTTCGGGCCGTTGGCCATTGGCCAGAGTTGCAAATGCGTAATTTTATTGCAAATTGCATTGTGAATAGAAATAAATGTATTCATGTGTGTGTGTCGGCGCTCCCACAAAAATGTAATTTTAATGCTAAATTTGTACTTGGTTGAAGCGGTTGCTGAAAGTGCTCAAGAGTTGGACAACTGAACATTAGTCGCAACATCTGCGCAAACACATTTATTCATTATACCCTACACCCATTCCAAATGGCCAAAGAGGGAATCATCAGAACTCAGGCTCCACCTTAAATATGCTTGTATTGAGCTCACTTTTTGCAAATACAACAAACTTAATTTGTACAGCCAAAAGCTGTTTCAGTACTTACTTTATTTTAAGAATTATACCTGTGTATGTGTGTGTGGCAGTACACTTCTGTATTTATATTGTAAATATATATTTTATTGCTATGAAGATTAAAAAAGTCCCAAAATAATAATTAAAGCTCCGTTTTTGACTGTGTATGACTCAAACTGCACAAGTGAGTAATTAAATGTTATATAATGTTGATTAAAATAAGAATATATATAAATATTCAATTAAAGACTGTTTCGTAATCTGTACAAAATATTATAGCCTTTCCTTTTTCATTCATTCTTAAAGTTAAATTCGTATTCTCACCTAATTATTAACAAACTTTTAATATTTTTTTCCTAAGCTGCCTCCATTTTTCTATAAAACTAAAATCTTTTTCTGTCCCATAACAAAATATTATAGCCATCCCTTTGGTATTCCTTCATTCCATAAGTTGAAACTTATATTCTCACCTAAATGTTAAATAACTTTAAATATTTTTCTCCTCAGCTTTCTTTATTTTCTGTCTGTGTCTGTGTCGCTTTCTTTCCCTGTCTCCCTCTCCCTTCTTTCTTTACTCTGTGTATCTTCTCTCTCTCTCCCTCACTCTCTTCCTCTCCTTTTCTCGTTTTTTCATTCCATCTATCTATATATGTTTCGATATGTTTCTCTCTATCTATCTGTTTATCTGAATCTCTCTCTTTCTGTATTATCTCTCTGTCGCTCTTTCTTTTCCTTTCTCGCTGCTTCTCTCTTTCTCTCTCTGCCTTTCTCTTTCTTTATCTTTATATATATTTCCTTCTAGGGTATAAATCGATTCAATGCAGGATATCATCAAGTCGATCTCCCACGACTTCAACAGTAAAACTTATTTTTCCCCAACGCATTTCACAATCAATTTAGAAAACTCGTTTAAATCATTGATGACAGATACCGAAACGTTTGCCCGTACACGGATATGCAATTGCGGATTTAAATAACCGTTGTACGTTTTCTAACAATCTAGAGTGGGCTGGACATGGATGTGTTTGTTGGGAAATCTGGGAGAGTCACAAACAACAAAAATGTGAGTCAGAAACATTTCAGAGTTATTTATTATTTTCTATGACACAAACAGCTGCTGTTTTGGATATTCTAAATTAAAACTTTTAACTCGCTGACGTCCCACGCTCAGAGGGCCACCTGAACAATTAATTAAGACCAGCTCCTGTCCGGACTTTGGACACGTTGGACGGACGCACGAACGACCAACAACGCAGAGAGTGGCCGACCTACCGACCGACCGACCGATATCAAATTCAGCCATACCACAACCACAGCTGCATTATTGTATTACGTATACGCAATTTGCCTAAGCAAATTCTTTGCGCATTGCCCAAACGCCAGTATTTTATGTGGCCCTTATCTTTAATCTACACAGGCATTAGGTCTGCGACACAAACATGGGCCAAACGAGAGCTGACAAAGCGAGGAAGCCACAACAAGACCTGCGGCAATTTCCGAGCCTTCTGATGATATTGACATTTATGCTCGGCAGATAGTCCCCAGCCCGCACGGCCTTTAGCCGACAACCAACAGCCGACAGCCGACACAGTCACCCTGCTCCCAGTCCTCAGCTGGGCTTTTGTTTTTTGGTAGCTTCATCTTTTTTAACCAAAATGCTGGGCACTGTTTTTGTTGACACTTGACAGCACCTGCCGCCTGCCTGCCAGCCTGCCAGCCTACCACTCTGTGGGTGGCCCTCTCCAGGCCTGCTTTAGTGTGAATACAGGGCACATTTTGAGGCTATGAATGATTCTATGTAGCACTGCGCATTAGAATCGAGTTGAACGTGAAATGACGCAGTTTGCAGCGTCGAGCACAACAACACATGACCACAATAATAAGGCCATATTTGTTTAGTGCCCATAAAGAGCTGGACACAGCAAGCCGCCCCCGCGGTCATCGGACAACTTGTTGAAATCTACGTCGTAACATGAAGGAATCGTAGAGCGAGAACACACCAGAGTCCGTGTCCAATCAATGCCAACTGGCTTTTGTTTGCATTTCAATTTCAGCTGGTGCCACTTCTTCTGTTGCCCGACTCTGGTGCCATTTAAAAATCAACGCAAAGTGCCTTCATTATGCGATTCTGGACCGTTGCAATGCCAAGGGCTAGCATATTTATATGTGCGTTCAACCGTGAAAGCTCCCACAAAAGGCGTAACAATCAGGCCGGCGTATAAAAAAAGAATATAGATATATATTTTTATCTAAATATATATGTATGTATATATAGAGCTGTATATGTATGTATATAGAACTGGTTAGGCTGGCCAGACACGCTGCCAGCCTTAGCCTTCTGTTTTCTGGTGATTCTAATCAATAATTTACGCATTTTCATTTCGTACGGCCCGAAGGTAGCATTAGCATTGGGCCCACAATTACCAGCGCAGAAGTGCCAGCCATTCAAGTGTGTCCCTACTTGAGAGTCTCTCAGCGTGTGTCTCTCCCTCTCTCTCTCTGTCTGTCTGCTTGTATGTGAGTAGCCTTATTTCGGCTCTTTTTCTTGGGGTACCATTTTGTCTGCCCTATTCCCAGAAGCCCATTTTCTCAAGTCGTCGCTGCATAAATTGTTGGCTTTGTTTTTAGTTTACAATGAAAAAGTTCTCGTTTTCTGCTTTTGGAGCTCTACAAGTTCAGTTTCTGTGAGTCTATGAGGAGGCAGCTATATTCATTTGCACAATATATTTCTTTAATTTTTTCCTTTTTTGTAACATTTTATTATTTATGATTAATTTGAGCTTATTTTTTGCATTTGCTCTTGGAATTACTTACTCGAATCCAATTATAGCTAAGCAGCTACGACTTAGACTCTTTCATTTGCCCTCTCGTCGTTGTTGCATTTGTTTTTGTTTGTTGCTTCTGTTTCTGGTTTTTGTGCTATTACTCTGCTGGTAATTCCTTAAGGATTGTGTTTACTTGAGTGCGCATGTGGCTGCCAATTGACGCATATTTGACTTTGTGCTTAAGCGAGCTGTTATTTTATTTTGTTCTGTTTCTTTTTTCCCTGGACTCCCAGCATAATACTATACAATTATTGAGCAGCGCCGAGATTTGGCTGTGGTCTGCCATTCTTGATTGCCATCTCTTGAGCTCTGTCAATTGTTGCGTGAAGCACAAAAGAAATAACAAGAGCAATACAGCCGTGGCTCCACGAATACTAAGCAGCTTAGCTAGCATTTGGCATTGGGTACGACTCTGAATTTTAAACGCTCGCCCAACTACAGAAAATCTTGGCCGCGCCAAGCAAATAAGATGCGTGCTTAGTATATGACTTGGCTGGCGTTAATTAAAGCCAGGCTAATGCTTAAAGTGCATAAATATGGCAATTAATAAAGCGCCGAAGCGCGCTCAACTCAAGCCCGCTCACATTTCACACGCGTAGAAATTACGCATACGCGGCGTGCGCCGCTGGCAGCAAGTCAAGTATCTTAGACAGCCAGCAAGACAAGACGCATATTCATAAGCGGCGCACATTAATATTATTAATTGAATTTAACGCATGAGATATTTTATTCATACGCAACCCTTGGGATCTTCCCTCCCTCCCTCTCTCTGTCTCTCTCTCACACACACACTCTCTATGTCCTTTGCCATTCGTGGGGCTGGCTCGGTGAAGGCGTGTCTATGGGTAACAGCAGCTGCTAAATCATCAACTTATGGGCTCATTAACAGCTGTAGCAACCAGAAGGCCGAGGCTGTTTCTGCCATTGTGTTGAGTCACCTACCGCATATTAACTGCAGGTATTTAACATGGTTAGGCACCGCAAAATCATCGTAGCGCCTCCAGCTACAATCGGCACCCGCTAAAAACGCTACATCCTGCCTCCTTGGCTGTGACGTTGCTCATGCTCATTGCACACGCCACTGGTTAGATAAATGACTTGCTTTCCGCCAAACACAAGCACAAGCACAGGCCCAAACGCAAGCACGCAAATATACACCCACACTAACATTTCTAAGCCGCATCATTAGCAACTAACTACGAAGCAACAGCAGTCGAGCCTTGTGCAGGAAGACTCTGTCCAATTAATTAAGCAACTGTCAGACTGGTCTACGTCTCCGCCTCCGTCTTCGTCTTCGTCTCAACTCCATCGACGAAATCTCTAATAATTTAAAGTACACTCAGGCGTTTAGTACGCCAAATTTAATTTCAATCTGATTATGGAAAACAATTTGTAGCTTTATGGCTGAACATGCATAATAGCATCAATATAATTAAAGCTGTCGTTTGTCAAATGCCCAACCTCTCTGGCAAAGCTAAGACACGTGACAGATGCTACTCTAGCAGCTAAATATTCCCAAGAGTATGGCCCATATTAGTAAATATATGTGCATACATATGTATCTGATGAGAGAAATCAATTTATGCCTTCTCGCTTGCTGCTAATCTGCTTGGCATATTGCAACTGAATCTTCAGCTTCATAGTTGACTATCTTCCAAAATTAATTTGTTATTTATTTCAATTTGAATGAAAAGCCTAATAGGAAAATAACTTATTTATAAAACTAATATGAGAACAAAGAGTTTTTATGGTCAACTATTTGTTCAATTAATGAATTATTCATTTATTTTTATATATTTGCATATAGAAATATAGAAAATTCTATACTGCAAAATTTAATTTTAAGCCTTAGCAATTTCTTTGAAATGTTCAACTACGCTTAACGCAAGGCTATTTATTTTCTGTATTATTTTTTTCCACTTAACGGAATGTTGGTTCAGTTCACTGTTTGTCTCTCACACATTTCAGGAGGCTGAGTCAATTTTGAGTAATAACACTTTATTTGGCCTATATTTGTTGTTCATCAAACATGGTAGCGCCCGCTCGGAAATGGCCTAATAACACAGCTGCTTACGCTATTGTGTGTCATGTGTTTGTGGGCGTGCCTAGATTTCTGCAGCTAAAGCTAGTGTTTTATTGCCTACTTTGCTGAGAACAGACAGACACACACACATTCACAGAGAGATACACACACACACACACACATACGTTCACAGAGTGCGCGCTTGGCAGCCCTTTATGCTACCCGTTAACAATACATACTTTCAAGTGAGCGCACACACACAAGCACAGCAATAGAAAGCTGAATGCACACACACACATACACATGCGGACACTCTTATAGACTTGCACAGGAGTAGCAGCCGAGTGGAAAAAGCAAAAACATTTGCCTTTCATTTGCGTCCCCTTTGCATAATAAAAATGTGTAGTTTATTTTTTTCCCACCAGCTCGCGCCTCTTCTGCGACAGTCGCTGTCGCAGTCGCTGCCTCTGTTGGCGTCGTCGTTGGCATCGACGTCATCGTCAGGCAACTTTGGTAGCCCTTTGTTTCCACATTTGCTGTCGTTATTGTTTGTTTGTTTGCCAACTTGTTATATCCTGATGCGTGTGTGTGTGTGTGGGTGTGTGTGTGGTGCGTGTATGTGTGTCCGATGGTGGATGAGTGGGCGCGGCATATATGTGTGACATTTCCGCCTATGTTTAACTTTTCACTCAGTGCTCCATACTCCTTTACTAAAACAGAGAGAGAGAGAGAGCGAGAAAGAGAGGGCTTCTGCCATTTCTTTTTTTTTTTTCGGCCGTTTTATGTGTAATTTTTTGCTTCACTGCTGAGACTTAATAAAGTTTTTAGTGCCTAGACATGTTTTTGTTTTAATTTCAACCACACACAAACACAGTAGAGACGCACACAGACATGCACACACATGCACACTCGCAGTGTTTTTAATTAATTTTGCCTACTGCTGCCAAATAGCCTCGTGTGTGTGTATATGTGTGAACGTCTGTGTGGCTGTGCGTAATAGCAATAAAATAAAATATATATGTGTACTGGGCTGGGAATCGTCTCCAGCTTTTGCAGTGATTAAATTGATATATCTGCTCCCAGCTCTGCTCAATGGGGAGACGCTTTAAAAATTGCCAAAACACTTCCGTAAAAAAGCCGAGCTCATATGTTGACTACAAGATTATGTATATATTCATTCGACCACATTCGTATGCTAAAATTTTCAACTGACACGCCTCGCATCGTTTAACATATGTGAGAAGTAGAGTTCTGATTATTTGGTGTTTACAATTCATAAAACACTTTTGATTATCGCTTTTGATTATACTTTCAATCAACTGCACACCGCAGCCGCCGTAGAAACTAATTATGTGGCCGTACCCAAAATATAATTAACCAATATCTGTGAATATGCTGAAATATTTATGTAAATGCATATTTTATTATTGGCTTAGCACTTATGAAACATAAAAACTAATAAAATAGTTATGATTACATATGAATATATTCTAGAGTAATTTCTATGCTTATTTAACGGTTGCTTTGGCAAATTAATACGAGAATAAATGAATTCCTCAGATTATCATAAATACTAAGCCTCAAAAGTCTACTTAAGATTATGTTATGTGGCGGGCTAATCAACTTATAATCTACAATTTTAGCATATTAAAGAAGATATAAAATGATTTTTATTGATGCTTTAAAAATCAGATGAGATATGTATATATGGTATACAAATAGTTTTGAAATTTTAATCTCAGAACTCGATGAGCCGACAGACAGATAGACAGGTCAGGCAAGCCTTCCATTATATATATACATATGCATGTACTTATGGATATTTCACATTGCAATGGGCTTAGTATATACAACTGTCAAACTGTTGACGGCTTGATAATATAAGAGATTTAAAATTATAAGTAATTTTTCGAAAAATATTTATATTAAAGTTATCTGGGCAGCACTTTAAACTTTTCATATTTTTGTTCATGTTTATGCTTTGATCATGATATACTTAGGCTACAAGTCTAGGCCGGGCTTCAAAGTTCTCAAAATTGAATAAAATTAAAGAAACAAAGCACGTACTGAATCAAAATTTGCTTTTCCGATCAATGTTCAATCTCTTAATAGCTGGCACGCTTTGAGAAGATTTTGTAGAATGGTCTTTCAGGCGATTCGTTGCTTGGCTAGAGAGCGGGGAATATACCAAAATTTTGCACTCAAATTTATGCGCTATCAGTTTAGCCTTTGAACCATTTTGGCTTGCTCTGTTTTGGCTTGGGTGGGAGCGGCCAGTTTGGGGCGTCCGACTAAATCCCTTAAATCCCCCAACTTGCTGTCATTGCTAACCAGCAGGCCTCATTCATTTTGCATGAATTGCCAGCAGGGTTTGACTTTAAAATGCTTTCGACCTTTGTTAAAAGTTTTCTGCCAGAGCCGA